AGTAGCAAATATATTTAATCTTTCGTCAATCACGTTTTAAATAAAGTTACCAGATTAAACCAATTGATCAGTCTATAAATTAAGCTAAGTGCAGCCCCGAGTTCCTTTCTCACTTCAGAGAAAATATATCATTATGCTCTGACCTGCTAACACAAGTAAAATAATAATTGTCATGTTATTTTCCAGATGGCATAATAAAGAAGATAACACCAAAACCAAGAACTACATGACGAACCATGCTAGAACGTTCACTTCCCTAAGTGACTGACTTATTAGCCAATCATTCAGCATCAAAAGCCCAAAAGAAACTATTAATGCTACAACAAAAATCGTGAGAAGTAGGTGGCTTCACAGTATTTCTAGCTCAGAAAAGGATGACGGTTCAAGCCTTGTTACCTGATAATAAGGGTTACCCGTCATGCAATATTCATGCATTATCCACTGTGTTCTCTGTCCTTTAGGTGCCCGACCAATGTGGAACACCAGGGTTCTCTTTGTGCCAATTATATTAGTACCAGACTTCACATTACGTTCTTTTCCTGTGGCCTTCCAGTAACCAGACTCGGTTGCCCTTTTACTCTGTGAGCCATTTGGGTACTTCCTTCCACGAGGAGAGAAGAAGAACCACTCATTATCAGACTGAACAATGGATTTACCTGGTAACATGCAAATAAATGAAATGATCAATTGATGCATCAGACAGATAGGCAAGAATGATGCCAAGAAAATTACTAAGAAACACAGCCGTCTAAATAGTTATATTGAAGCAAAGGAAGCATGACGACTTCCAACTACCCTTCAGTACATTTGTTAATGACATTCACTCAAGAAGCTTTAGTGTCAAACTTAAGCAAAACTTGGGTAAAAAGAAATTGTGATAATGGCAAAATTTTGGTACAATATAGTTTATGATGACCCATCTCTAGCCATACTGCTGTATATGCACAAAGACCATCAACACATGGGTCCTTATCTGGAGTCGGCAATGGCATAGACATGCTCATTCACTATTATCCCATTCAGCATTTATGACCTTACTTATAACTTGGCAAGAACTTTTTAAGGTATTTAATATCCTCCCATCCTTGAGTATTCCCCATGAAGAAGCACGGATGGAATCTTCCTTTTAGAAGATTGTTGAAAGGTTGGGAGATTGAGATGGTGGCTGATATTATGAACAAAAGAGAGGGTTTTCATGGAGTCAGCAACTCTGATGATTCTTTGGTATGGAATGGAAGCAACTACCAAAAGTTCAGTCAGCTCTGCCTGTCATTATTTGTCAGAACTAATTACACTGGTTCAGTGTGGCCTTGGAAAACTATCTGGAAAATCAAAGCTCCATTCAAAGTGATATGTTTCACTTGGTTGGTGGCTAGGAAAGCATGTTTGACACACGAGAACCTACAGAAAAGGGGGATTCAGTTGACCTCCAGATGTTTGTTTTTTTTGTCAGGTGGAGGCAGAAAATAGCAGCCATCTTTTTCCTTCACTGTAAGCTCACAAGTGTCTTTTTTTTTGAGGAACATAAGTTCACTGGTATCTTATGGCAATTGTTCTTGTATTTTGCTAGGGTCAAATGGGTCATGTCTGGAGAAACAAAGGATCTTCTATGTAGTTGAAAGAGTGCAGCAGGTAGTATCAGACAGAAGAAGTGGTGGAAGGTTGTTCCAGCTTGCATATGATGGACTGTATGGAATGAAAGAAATGCTAGGAGCTTTGAAGACAACTCATGCTTCATAAAGAAAACCAAGACGAAGTGTTTTTTTCCTTACTCTTCTGGTGTAAAGAATATTATGTAGAGGATGCAGATAGTATTTTTGAATTTTTTGAATCCTTATGAGATAAACAAGGCCTTTTGTAATTGTAAATGTTGGATACCAGTAGCACCTTGATGCTGATGAATATACATGTTACCTTTCTCAAAAATAATCTAAGGAAGAAGTTAGAATGTGTAGGAGCAGTTGGTGGACTATGAATTATCATATAGGACAGAGAACAAAGGGGATAAATTGTCACCAATTATGCAATTATTCTTGTGGTTCGAATTGAACAATTGACCAAAACAGCATTCACATCTCTCCTTGATCTCATTATCTTCTATGAATAATTCTTGAGGACTGTCTTTATACAATTCACTTGGTTTAAGTGCTTACTGTGCTTCTCTCTCAATCGTTTTAGTTTTAAACATTTCTCTCTCTTTGTCCTTTTAACATTTTGTACAAATCATCTAGGGCTTCTCTCCAGCTTTACCAATAGCCTCTTTACCTTCCCTCTTATCTCTCTTATGCTCTTCAAAGGTTTCATCATCTTTTGTTTTTGGTAACTTTCTATAGTTTTCTTCTTTTAGTTCTAGTAACTCTTTGCACCTCATCATTCCACCACCAAGATTCTTGCAATCATAGTTTTTCTTGAAAAGCTAATTGGTTAGTGCCCTTTAATGCCCACCATCGAATGCTTTGTATCTCCTTACTATGCACACACGCTTTACCTCCAAGACCATCAACCTGTGTTTGGTGGTCATGGCTTCTCTTGGTATAACCTTATAGTCCTTACATGTGGTTTTATCACAACTTCTAGTAAGAGTTAAGTCATTTGACTATAGTTTATGGTGCCAAATTTACCAATGAGGATAGAAGTTGTATATATCTTTACTTTTATAAGTATATTTTAAATATCTTTCAACAATAACATACCCAGTGTAATCCCACAAATGGAGTCTAGAGAGTAGAGTGTATGCAGATTTTACCCCTACCTCGTAGAGCTATTGTTTCTGATAGACCCTCAGATTAGAAAACATAGCAAAGCATTTCGAAAAATGGAAGCAAAACAACAACGAAATAATGCAAAAAGAAGAGTAGAAAACAACATACGGATGAAAGAACAATAGTGACAATGAAATGATGCAACAACCGAAGCAAAAAAGCACAGGTGACAATCGAAATCGAAAGACAAGAAACTTTGAGAATAGTGCTAATACTACTGGTAAGAAAGTAGGTACATGTATGACCACCAAGCCTATCCTACAGAAAAGCGAGAGAAAGTTCAACTACCAATTCTCTCCTAATCCACGCCCAGCAAACCGTCCTATTTAAAACCATGTCCCCTATAATCACAAGATGCAAGAGAACACTCAACTTCCAACAAACATTTTAACCTAATCTGTGACTACGACTACCAAATCCTCCTATCTAAGTTCATGTACCCGGTAAGCACATGATGCAAGAGTATACTCAACTAACAACTAATATTCTACCTTACCCGACCTCCAAACCTTCCTATTTAAGGTCATGTCCTTCGTAAGTTGGGAGTAAGCTCAAGATGGCCATATACAATAACACATATTAACACTACAACAACAACATACGCAGTGTAATCCCACAAGTAAAGCCTGGTGACGATAAGATGTACACAAACCTTACCCGTACATAGGCAATAACCCATATTAACACAAGTGAATGAAAAAAGGCAAAAAAATAAAATAAAATAAAATTAAAAAAATGGGAAAGTGAGTACCTGGGAGATCCCAAGGCTCATGTTTCCAAATCTCAACTTCAGAAATAACTTCAACACATTTATCAGAGCCTTCAACCTTTTTCTTCAAGTAATAGGATATGAGTTCTTCATCAGTTGGACAAAATCTAAACCCAGGAAACATAGTTGAAGCTGTAGCTACTGAAATCTCTACGCCATTACTATTACTAATTTTACTTTTCTCAACTATTTCTCCATTTTTCTTCTCACTGCTACAATCTAACAAATCTTCATCTTCCATAACACCAAACAAAAACTTTTTCTCCAATTTCTTCAGCACCTTTGTGTGTTGTCTTGAAATTAGGAAAACTTTAGAAGTTTGTATAAACCACTTTGTCTTGTTAAAAAAAAAATATTAAAAAAAAATGAGAAAAAACAAAAATGGTTCCTTATCTTTGATAAAATAAGTTTAAAGCCCGTGGACAAGAGGAAGTTATTCGGATAGTAAAAATACTATCACTTGTATTTTTGATCTCCACTATATATTTATTATTATATAAACTATGATAGTTAGATTTAATCGAAATTGTGAAATAGAAAATATTTGACAAAAACTCATACTCAAAAATATACTTTAAAGTTTATGCGACTTTTTTATTTTATAATTTATGCTATAATTTCTTTTTATGGTATATTTCTTGTGTTTGGTATAATTATGACTAAACTTAAAAATTAGAATCATTTGTTGAAATATATAAAAGAAAATATAACGTTTTTCTAATCCGGCAATAATTGTCGTTATCTTTCGCCTATTCATCAAAAAGTCCAAGCTAACCACGCTATTTCAATCAAATCAACTTTTTAACTTCAATTTTATAATAGACTCTATAGAATCAACGATCATATAATTACATCGAATACGATAAAATATCTAAAATATAAATTAAAAAAAAATGTTGAAGTAATACTTAAAAAAGAATTACTTTCGGTTAGAAAAGATAAAAATAGTGACTGAGTCAGCTGCTTTTTTCCCTTTTTTTAGGGCAAGACATCTTCACGTGGGAAATGGAATGCAACTTGTATGTGATTTGTGTATTAATGGAGTTGCCTTTCTTCATCACATGGGGGACCATATCCTTACTTTTTCCTCCCTTTTTTAAGGTAAAAAAAGGAAGAAAGAAGCACAAAAAAATAGAGGATATTATTTAGTATCTCGTATTAACGTAGGATATGAAAACATCACACCTCAAGGGGTGTAATGCAAACCGTCTACCTAATTAGTAATTGTTTCCAACTCAAACCTCAAGGGGTGTAATGCAGACCGTCTACTTAATAGTGATTGTTTCCAACTCACACCTCAAGGGGGTGTAATGTAGACCGTCTACCTAATTAGTGACTGTTTCATGGCTCAAACCTGTAATCTGGTGCAAACTTCACAAGCATTAAGATAAAGTCCTCATATGTCAATCCTACTAAAATGCTTCAAATTCATTAGTCTTGAAACTAATTTATTTTCAAAATAAGAGTTCAATGGTACCAAAACATCATGAACAAAGTTTAGGTGAAGCAATGTATGCCTACACCTTTGCCAAAACAAGAAGTTCTCAACAGCTATGAGATCCCTTTGTGAAAACCAAAAAAGTAAGGCAAATTCATAAGGCATTTGAGACACTATCTAGTCTAGATAGATAGTGAGAAGAGTTTGGATAGCCGCCTATTTCCCTGTTTCTTTTTCCTCTCTCTTTAGCTTCGAGACGCTTGAGAAGACAGCATCCCATTCTTGTTTCTGAGTTTCAGGAACCATGCTGCCATCAACAAAAGGTTTCCACGTATCTTCATTAGAATCAGTCTGAACCCAGCTCACACTCTCTGGTGGATTGGCAAACTCGAAGTGGAAAGGAGCAACCTTCTTTGTTTTCGAGCCACTCTTTTGTTTTTTGCTTTGCGGAGTCTCAAATGGCTACAAAAGAAATTGTACCATTAAAACACGCAAGAAAATGTATGTTTCTTTGAAGCAAAGGGAAGACTAATACAAACATAGAAGTGATAGGTTATAACTGATGTTTTTGATTCACTAATTGTAGCATCACTGCTACTGCCAGTGTTTCCCGCCCATTTACAGGAAATAAAGCACCTTATTTTTTGACCGAAATTTACCCCTGGAAACTGGTTCATAATAGTACTGCAGACTAGCTATTTTCACTTTGTAAGACGTTTATATCTTTGTCACATTCCAACCACCATTTCACTATTTATCCCTGTACTATATCTATCATCTACATTCTAATAATTTCAATAGACGAGAAACTTGTAGAATAACAGCTTATCATTTGTTCATAATCAAAACACAACAGTCACTGCTTCTATTGAAGATGACAAACAATTAAAAATCCTTCATGCGTTAGTTTCTGAAATAATTCTAATTCAAACTCCAATATTAAAAGTAAAAACTAGAGAAAATAACCACATTTTCAGATGCATTTGCTATATAACGCACAACAACCAACAACAATAACAACATCATACCCAATGTAATCCCACAAGTGGTGTTTTGAGAGGGTAGAATAAACACATACCTTACTCCTACCTCCTGAGAGGTAAAGATTTTATTTCGGAAAGACCCTCGCCTCAAGTAACACATATCAATGCATTTTCAAAAATACAAACAAAAAACACAAAAGAAAGGCATATATAAAACATAATAAGAGAAATAATTACATAGCATTCAGAAATCATGATGAGTAAAATATAAACGTAGATTTATTTTGTTAAATAGAGGATAAAAGAGGAAAAATATTCCAAATGTAGCACAAGTTAAGTCCAATACAATATGCATATGTAATTTAGAGACGGATTTTTTACCCTATCAACATGACAGATTTTTGTTTCAAACTTCCACTTCCCCGGCAACAAGCTTGGCCTCTCAACATTAACCTGATGCACCGGCATAACCATCTCAGCCGCCAACGCGGTCTTCTGCATCTCCCGAGTAGTCCCCGCTAGAGCTGGAGTCAGATTGGGCCTCTTTCCTTCATTTGGCAGTACGCCATTGTTCGGTTCATCGCCGATGTAGGTTCCGGACTGTAACATCGGATCTGTCTGTAAGGAGCCATCCCGGAATTCACCGTCGGTAACGGTTAACAGCCAGAGGCGTATCCAGGATTTATAGATGATGGGTGCACTATTACAAAAAGGTGAATCTAAGACATAAATTTGATCGGTCAGATTCTTTTTACTGAAAACCATTAAAATTTTAAAATCATAGGTCCAAAATTAACTTTTATTTATCCAAACCAGTTACAAAATCTTTGAAAGAAACTAAAACAAGATAGATAAAAGATTCAAATTTCTAATCTCACCTAGAGAGGTGCACCCAATCATCGTCGTACTACATTATATAATACTTCGAGTCTGGGTTCACGCATCTATATTTAAATATTTTAAAAAATATAACACTATTATATATGATTTCGGGAGGGGACCATGGGTTCACGTGAACCCGGTGACCCCCTCCTGTATACGCCCCTGTTAACAGCGGGATGGATGAGACGGCAGCAGTTTCAGTCATCGTAAGGAGTTATTAGGGCGGGGAAGCGTTGAAAGAGTCAATAGAGAGAAGAATATCAATTGAATAATGGGAAATGACAGACAATATATTTCTGATTGTACTTTTAAAGTAAATTTTCATAAACTATAAATAACATTCCTTTTTAAATCTAGAAACATATTTCATTTTGTTTCTAGAAGTACAATCCCCCTCCTTCTAAGTAGCCAAGTGATTTGGCAGCATGTGATTGGTCAATTTTTAATTATCTTTTTATGATTTTAAATAATTTAGACATATTTTTTACAGTTATA